TTGAACACAAACAAACAACCGTGTTTATTTGGTTGGAGAGGCGTCGTTTTTTCCTTCAGGAATTTTCATTTAGGACTTTGTATCGTCCATTATTAAAGTTGTTTTCACCTGAAGGGTCCACTCACCAGTCAAACTCAGGAGATATATCAAAGCCGACATCGTTTGTTTCCTTAAACACCAGGCCGTCCTCGTTTTCGAGATTCCAGCCTCTTTTCGAGATTTTGGGATCCAAATGGCGGGGGTTGCATCTCTCTCCCCGTCACCGACGATGCAGTTGGAAAAACTTTCGGCCAGGCAAGATTGAATGCCACCTGCCGGTGTTAGGGGGGGGGGGTCTGCTGCAGTGGCCTAGTCCGACCCGTTCCCGTCGATCTGTCACCGTTATCATTATCGACCGACGATTGTAGGCCTGCCATCCTTATCATTATCTTTGCGACCAATTATCGCAGCGCCGTGCAATTTTCTAAAAATAAAAACAAGCAAGTATCTTTCCTGCTTCCTCGTATTCTACGACCACTTTCATGCAACATGAGAAGCATTTTCTTCAAGAATGCAACTTTTAAAAAATCCCATTCGATAAGTGTGGGACACGTCATATCTGACGTTTGTGAAAAACTTGGCAATACCACGCAATCCGTGATATCTCACTGTCGCACCGTGCTCGTCACATACACACTTGCTTATGTTTTTCGGAATTACTTAGCCGAATTGCGGATACATATCACATGCAGCGTCATATTGTTAACTGATCCAAATAGACGACGTTCACAGCGTGAACGTTGATGAAGAAGCCAAGTTTGCTAACGTTGATAAGTGCGCTCGTGCCGCCACTTCCGAGATAATATGTCTGTCTGGGACCATACGCAGGTCTCGTTTCCTCCCTCCTCAATCATTTTCGATCTCGTCACCGTAATGAAAACGGGCATATTTATCTTCATGGGAGTGATCGCACGAAACTAGCTGAGCTGTACAAAAACGCGCCCACCCGCACACAGAAGACACTGACCACTGTCGCCAGGATAAGACGCACAGCCCCATCCCAGTCACCTTGCCGTGCACAGCTGACCCCAGGGCCTTGAGTCGACCGAACACACAACAGAAGCCCACAGCCGTAGACAGCAGTACACGCAGCAGAAGACAGCAGAAGACCAGAGCCGGCGCTCGACCGCGTTACGCGACGGCCTCCCGGCGACCGCGGACAAAGCCAGAGCCGCCGCCGCCGGCGGCAGTTGTGAAACAGCTCCGTCTAATTTCTCGTGGGTCTGCTCGCGGGGAACGGCCGCCGTGGGGCAACGCTTTGGCGACAGTTGCGTCGTATTTGTGCTGCGGTAATGGCGGCGGCGCCCGCGGCGCGCTGCTGTGGTTCGGCCCGGCGGCGGCGCGGCGGATAAGGGAGCGTGACGCGCCCGCCGATGCCGCGAGTCGCGCTGAACGAAATCGAAGCCGATTTCAGAGGCAGGAATCGATGCTGGGGAATGAGCCGGAATCGGCGGAGCTGGGCGGAATTGCATCGTTGATGATGGTGACAGGATGGAATTCGTGCAGACATCAACAGAATGGAATTTATAGGAATATTCATGGAGACTGTGTGAATATCACCGACTCGCGCTAACGTACAACGTTCTGAGCTAGGCATGCGTCAAAATGTGAAATGTTTAAATGTGGGGCGCCTGGAGTCGTTAAGATGCAGGTGGAATGAAATCTAAGTGTGTGGAATCGGAAATTACGTGCAACCCCTTTCGTATTCTGAATAACATGAACGGTGCAAAACCCAAGTGGAAACGTCGTCATAGGGACGGAATGACCACGTGGTTATCACTTTCGGCCCCTACGTGGGGGCCCGGGTTCGAATCCCGGTTGCACATCGCCCTTGGGAGCTAATATGGCATCTGCAGTCGCTGGCGCCCAAACAAGGATGCGCGCTGACGTGAGCCACACTTCAAAAAACTCGTCGCGCTGTTGTCACATCTGTCTAGGAGACCGTACATCTGTTGCTTGATTTCTCAATCAGTGGGCCTCCGCTGCTCGACAATTCCGGTTTTGAATGCAGTCCTGGGCAATCAGATTGCGCGCTGACCACCTCATGTCAAGGTCACCACCAAGGTCATCTGCCAGGTCACCGTCAGTGCCGCCGCTAAGGTCGGCAGCCTTTCTCTGCGACGCCGCCTACGACTCGCATCAAGTTTTGCAATTGAGCCGCCCGGCCTCTGCGTTATCAGCCAGCTCCCGCCGACTGGGCTGCAAACCCGCTCGGCTGGCGGGCCTCACTCCGGCGACCCTCGCAGAAAGCGAAGCACCGGACGCTGCCGTCGGCGAGATCGCCCGCCGTACGGTTGGAGCCGGGTAAATATGGTTCGTCGCAATATCGATCTATGCGGCGGCGACGATTTGAAGCATTGCGACGACGGGTGGAAGTGGGGCGCTGAGCTGTACATGGTCCGTTGAGACTGTCTATCGACGGCGATCTGTACCGGCGAAGGCCGCAACATTTGAATTCGAGCCCGGCATTTGAATCTGAGTTTGGAGCTCGTTTCGGGAGAAGGCGGCGCAACCGCGATTTGTATCTGCATTGTCGCGTTGTGCAAGCGCGCACGTAGGTGCTTGATTTACGCCTCGTGCGCAGCTTTTAAAGAATCAATGATGATTGTTTGCTGTTATTATAGGATTATGATTAATGTGTTCGGATTGATTAATATGTTATGATTAATATGTTGGGTTAGGTTAATATATGATTATTATTTTAGGTTAGGCTAGGTTAGGTGGTACGATATGTTAGCGATATTGCGAAGAAATGACGATAATGACACGACACCTCGGGTTGAACGCAGAAGATCGATTGATTTCTTAGAAGGTTACAGGCATTTGTAAATATTTGCTCTCAACGCCTGAGTCGCATAATGGCGCGCCTACGACGTGGCGTTGAAAGGCAACCAAGTGTAGAACTGTCCTGATTCAGCCTGGTCTCGTGTTGAGGCCGTGAGCCGTTCCCGGAAAACCACTCAGTAATCTGTATGTTTGCAACAACAAGAATAACAGCTGATCTGTCGAAATAAGGACTAGAAGAGCTTAACTCTCCGAACTGGTGTGACTCCGGACCAACCATTCGAGCGCACTGCATTAACTATAAAGCGTGACGGCTAGAAATAAACATGTGAGAATGATGCAATAGAACTCAGTTATTACATCCGGAAATTGTTCGCACCATTGAGAGGCCTTACGTAGTGCTCGAGTCCTTAGTCCTTGAGGAAGGCTTCAGCCAATGCTATGTGCCGGAAACGAAAGACAAAAACGCTCACGGGTGTGCGCTTCATTAGGAGCCGCTCTCGGCGGTGGTCAGTGGCGGACTTGCTATTAATCCAGACTCTCAGCGTCCAACCATCAGATGTTCACTACATCTTGCTCGCCACCTTGCCAGGCGACGCATGTACCCACGATGAAAAGGTTGCTAACACAGAGCATACATGGGCTGTGACTATGTTGTCACGCTCGAGCTACATCAGACACAGGCTGGACTTGTGGTCTTATTTATTGAGCTATTTCAGCACGCATAATATGTATCCGAGTTTACCCCTGATCGATTTTGACATTTTCGTTTTTCAATGAACATACTACACGCTGGGGCCCAGTCGGGTATCGTCATGACACATGCTTGACATGACACATGTATGACACACACATGACACATTATGACACTGAGTGCGGCTTAGCGGGCTTAGTTTGGAGTGACTCGTGCTTGGTGGCGTTCGAGTCTGTGTGTTAACGGATGGCGCATCCACGAGGCTGTCGTTACAAAAGTTCGGAATGTTCCGTCAGTGACTGTACCGCCAGCCTAAAGAGGTAAATATCGCGTTCTCACCAATTATACATGGGGAGAGAAATACCACATTCGGGCGTGTCCGTCCGATTCATCATTGTCTGCACTAGAAATGCAACGCCTTCTTTGCAAAGCTGCCGGCATCGCATCGGCGCTAGTCCGGAAGCTCTAAGGCCTGTGACGGTACGAGGTGACACAAGTGCTGACATGAGCTCTCTATGCATCCAACACACCGGTAAAAGCCAATCTTCCTCCAGCACCGACGCGACCCAACCGTGGCCGGCCCGCGCGTGCTCCAATGCCGCCGCGATAGTCTGGCGATAGTCTCTCGATAGTCTGGCGACGCCGTTGAGAACGGATGCCTGCTGTGACAGGCGTCATCCGTCGCCGTCGCGTGGCGTCACTGATGACGTTTGCCGGGGCTGGCCGTTGTCTGCCGCCCTGTCAAAGGTGCGCCTTATTCAAGCTATTCGTCGCCGTATGCCAATGAAGTGAACGGTGTCATGGGTGTGAGCTGTTCAGGCATCCATATTTCTCGCCTTCGTATACCTAGTGAATCGATTCTACCTGCCGGTTTTTGTGATTTCATCCACCTGTGATATAATTTGAACGCTCCGTCATGTCATCTTTTCATCATTCTGTACTGACACACATCTCGGTCATACTACGGCCGCCCGTTGCCATCTGCCTGGGGTGTTTAGCTCGCCAATGTCGCGCAATTTTCGCATATTTTTACAATTTACGTCTTCTATGCAACGTCGTCCGCCTGTTGCTACAGGGACAGTCATCATGGGTCGCCACCGTCGCCCCTCGCACCACATTCAGGTCACTGACCTGCACCACCTGATCATTTCTATCACAGTTTCCACCCGTCGATGACGGATGGCGGCCATTGCTTATGTGATGACCGGTGTCCTGATGATGGCCTGTGTCCAGGTGATAACCCGCATACTGACTGATGCTGGTGACCTGGCCTGGTGACCCGATTTCGAAACGACCCGATTGTGTTGACAATACCCGCTACATGACCCTCTGACCAGACTTCCGAGTGTGTGATGACCCGCAGCCATGTCTCACCCAATGACCCGGTACCTGATGACCCGGTGACTGATGGCCTAATCTTGTGATCTGATGACCTGGGATAATGGCCTGGCATGGTGACCTGATGACCTGACCCTGTCTGCAGGAACCAGATGCCTTCTCGAAGCATGGGCAACACCAGCTCCACCGGCGCGCCCTCGCCGCAGCCCCGTTCCCCGACCTTTCGGCCTCGGGTCGCCCTGCCGCCCGACTACGAGTACATGAAGAAGCTGGTTCCTGAGCTCAAGGTGAGTCAAGGTCACGAGGCGCAGGGTGCGCTTTGACAAGCGAAGATCAAGGTGGGTCGAGGTCAAGGGCCAGTTTTCGCGGTGACGAGGGGATGTGCGGAGCTCAAGGCGGGTCGGGTTCACGACGAGGCGTGTCGAGGGTCAAAGTGAGGTCAAGGTCCGGTGGGGTTCAAGGTGAGTTGAGGTCACAAGCGTCAAGTGTCACAGTGATAAGGCGACAATCGGCGCTCGGTGAAGACCATGCCTGACCCTGTGGTCGGATCATTTGCCCGAAGTTGTGTGCTGACCCGGCCAGGTCAAACTTGATAGCCAGACACGCGCCCAACCTGGCCGGGTTAGCATACAACTTCGGGCAAGTGATCCGACCACAGAGTCAGGCATGGTCTTCACCGACCTTCAGCGCCGATTGTGTCTGGCTATCAAGTTTGATCAAGGCGCGTGTCTGGCGATCAAGTTTGAAAACCACTGTATCTCTTTCAATCAGGCGTGGTTCTGCACTCATTTGTAGAGCGCATTTTGCGTACACTATAATACCTCAACCTCTCGCGCGTTTCATTTCGAGCCTTTCGGTAGTAGCTCAGGTCTGCATGAATGCATTGTAAAAGTTTGGCCACGAACTCTACGTCTGATAACTTCTGCCTCGTAAGACTATGCTTTCATTATGCTTTACACCGCCAATGCTAACTGATGCGAACTTAGGCTTTCTGCTTGCTCCAGTGCCCTTCATTGTAACGTTAGCTTATACTGAACGGGTAAAGTTTATGAAGGCGCTGATCATAAGAAGCACGTAGTGTGACTAATGAGCAGCCTGTCAGCCTCTGTGTTTTTAGAGCTTAAGGAGATTTTTAGCTGCAATTAAGAACGCATATGATCAATGGCAGGCCGGTGGTTATTTTAAGCAAAAGAAGCAAAAATGCACACGCTGTGTTTTATTATACATATATATATATATATATATATATACGCATATTTTATATATATATATATATATAATGCAAAATGCTGCACATTCTGGCTTGTTTTTTGTTTAGATATAAATATTGGCATGCTGTTGATCATATGTGTCGTGATTAAAATGTCCGCAATAATGTCAGAGGCTAAGATATTTTTTCCCTATTTGGGTAATCAAAAGAGGACCAAAAGTGACCTAAAAAGCACATAAGGAGGGAGCGTGATGGATTTTTTTGGCCACGAAGGGTTTCCCAGTTTAACCCTGTTCAAATTAAGCAATTTTATCTTTTTATAGATTCACGATTGAACCCTTGTGAAAATTCCTGGTGTCACCGCGCGGTTCAACACACTTAGTTTTAAATACTCGTGAAGGTAAACCCTCACTTGAATCTCAAAATCGTCTTAATGTACACTCGTGAACTATTTTCACCAAAACACTTTGGCACACCGTTTTAATGACAATGTCTGCCATGGTAAAATCAGATGCATGTATATTTCAAATATTAGTCCCTAAAACAGGTGTAAATACAAATTATTTCACGACTCCACAGCACGAATTTTAAAATTTTCTAGTTTGGTGGAGCCCGGTCTGTTCTTTGTGTGACCTTCTGCAAACGCTGAGGGCTATTTCAGTTTGGTTTTCGCAAGTTGTTGAGTGCATTGGCGAGGAACATTATTTACAAAGATAAGAAAAAAGTGATAGCCTTATTCCCCGGAGAAAAACCAGAAGAATGGAGATATAGATGCGTTGATATTTTGGCAACATGCCTTTGTCGAAACAACAGCAGAAGACTTCTGCTTGACACGAGCACCGTGTCAAGCAGTTGTATGCACTTATATGTATGGGCTGAGGGGCGTCTCGGAAAGTTGGGATGACAATGCCAATTTCGAATTCGATTCTTCGCATCGGCGCCAGACGGTTAATGCTCAGCATTCTCGGAAAGTGACTGCGCTTTCACCTACCGCGTCGACCTGCGACGTACGACCTGCGACCTCCGCTGAACCCCTCGGTCTTTGATCCGGGGTCGACCCCCAGGTGGCACCGATCACGTGACCCCCGCGGGCGCGTGGCGGGCCGAGGAATCCGCCTCGCCGCCGCTGGGGGCCCGTGTAACGCGAAAGCAAGATCAAGTGACGCCGCAGGGTAGAGGTCTGCATGGTTACGTAGTCCAAGAGATGCCGGCACGGAATGGGCCTATGAGCTGGATTAGGTACAGATTTGGGGAAAGTATGGTTGTCAACGGTTACGGTTGAGATATCAACGAAATGCTGAATAAATAAGTCGTGATGTCCCTCTGTGCCGCCGCTTGCGTTTAATGTTCGTCATCGTTTCTCCATTCGCGCCAACACGTTTGTCATTGATGAAAACGGACAAATTTAGGTGAAGCCCTTCTTGAAACTGCTCTGTACTTCGGCACTAGAGTGCGGTACAAAATGCAAACGGATGAGTAACGGATGAGCAGAACATGTTGGGTGTGTGTAAAGAGTGGGCATCAGGACAGGATGTGGCGTAGCGCTGGCCGAAAGGAAATCTTGTGAATGAGAACCTCTGCTGCAGAGGCCTGCTTCATCCACAGACAACGCACTCGCCTCTGCTGGCTCTCTGCGAGATGTTTTTGCGGCGTTTCCTCTGGGAGAGATGTTTTTGCGCCGTGGTATTCGGGAAAGACGCTTTTGTGGTGTTCCCGGCAGCTATCCGATAGGTACTGAACGCACCCCGGTAACGACGCTGGCGGGGTGCTAATAACCTGCTGCAGCTATGCCCTTATTCATTTTACGATCTGCGTGTCGGGTGTCGTATTTTTGAAGCTCAGGTATATCTGACAATTAAACATGCGTATTATAATCCTCTGTGCGCTGGTCTGGGTGTTATACACGCCAAGATCTTCAGTGTTTTTGCTTTTCTCACAGTGGTTTGCAAATTTCTTTGTTATCAAGATGTCAGATCGTTGTGCTGGGCGTTCTGAGGATAAGGTGCTTGCCGCGGAGCGAACGTATGACCGCAAATTGTGTGGATCATGATGGTGATGATGGTTGCTGGTAATTCTAGCGGCCTCTTCGTGTCTGAAGGACACCGAACGTTTTCCATGCACGCGACGTGCAGATAAAGACGGAAACAAAGAGCGAGAAAGTGTAGCAAAATGGACATCGTATAAACCGCGCCACAACAATGCAACTGTTTGCGGGATATCATGGATACAGTCCTTCAAGCGCCTGAATTTCGAACTTATCAAAAAGCCGCGCCAAAATTAAGCATCCCTCTCCATTCCAATCGCACCTTCGCTTTCGTCGGCCACTCAGTATTGCGGTCACAATTACCCTGTAAATATTATGCCTCAGCACGAGTGAGTCATAGAGTCATGGAGTCATAGCACCACTTGGTCGATAGCTGCAGCGCGACGCCCACCCCGCGGTCTACCACGTGCGCCCGTGCATGGTGACATTTCGTGCTCGATAGTGCTTGCGCCCCTGGTGGATTTGAACGGGGTCGACGGCCATAGCTAGAAGCCGCCGGCACGTGCGGGCGCCCAGAGAAAGAGGGACCTTGCTGGTAGCCTGGTGGACGGAGGTACACGAATGTTGCACATGCGTGGATGGTGTAGAAGTATGACCGCGTATATGTGGGTGCTTGTATATATCGCGAACATGTACTTGGCTATGTATGCACCGAGATGTGTGGGGTGTTTCTTAAACTCTTTCCCGTCGATGAATAATCTGTAAAATATGTCAGGCTCATATGACATTTTTGTTGCATGCCGTCATTCCCCCCCCCCCCCCCTCTCCGCCCATTCCTTGCCAGACACTTGGCGATTCCATTTTGGCATGCCGTCCTCGAACATGCGGAGCATGAAGGGCGAAATGTTCACGCACTCTGTCTGCAACATCGCCTCCAGTTCCGAGATGACCCGGTCCATGTCGCTGAGGCGTGTCTTCAGGATGTTCTCCTGATTTGTGGAGAGGTTCAGGTTAAGGGGTTTCCTGACCTTGCCTTCTCGTCTCAGAAAAAACAAATGTGTCGCCGACATCACTCTTAGGCTTCTACGCATTGTGAGCGTCTTGCATGGAAGTGGCGGCTGACACGTTGTGGACCATCTTCCAGTGCTTTGGCATCCGTGCTCACCGTCAGTGAGAGAGACTTTTCAAGAACCTCCTTGACACAGCACTCTTTGTTGACAGTCTGTGTTTGCGGTACCGCGTGCGGTTCTGCAGACTAGAGTGCGGTAGTTCTTTCCCAGAAGATGCGCTGTCCCCCAGATAATCTCCTCCTGAGGCCTGTTTCCAAGGTGGCTAGATGGTACCGCGCCGTGTTTCGCCCAAACGGGGGCGTTGTGGGGTTCGAGGGTTATGTGTGCTTGAAAACCAACTCCTTGCTCCAAGTAAGTATTTCCAAATTGCGATTGCCCCAATTTTTACCATCGTTTGCCTTTCGCACAGCTCCATTTTTGCCGTCCCCTGCTTTTAACTCAGTTCTCGCTGTTTGACTCTTTTGTGTGCCTTGTCAACCTGCCATGCAACGGCCAACAGTCGCGCTGGAGACCTCGAAGCCCTTGTGTTTTAACTTGACTGATGATTTTCGCACGCTTAGGTTTATTTTCAGCGCGTCTTTGTCAGAGACAATTTCCACTACTAGGCAAACTTTTGAAGGCTAGCCAGAGCACTTCTTGTCGTTGAGAGACTCTCCGCACGACAACTTCTCCATCCTTCGCTCACTGTAAGGCGTGGCAGATCCAGTGCCGAGGCGACATCTCACTGGCTGTTGCAGCTCTGGACCATTCCGAAGGGCTTCATACGGGCACCCCCCGGCGGGGGGAGCCTTGAAAAACCCTGTGTATATACATACACACACACTTAAACACTTACACACACACACACACACATATATATATATATATATATATATATATATATATGCATAGGCCTACTTATCTTCCACTGTGAGAGAGCGGGAGCGGTGGAGACCAGACAGTTTGAACCCCCTGCCAACTATCTAAAAGTTGAGCATTGGCCCATGAAACATGATTTAAAAGAGATAGACGAAAATGGCCATC